CGGATTTCGGTTTCTACCGATATTAATCCGGTTTTGGTTCAGCAGAGTTTGGTTAATACTGATGCGGTTGAGAGTCCGAAACCGGTTCGACCGCCATCTTTGGGATATACAGATGATGGTAACAGACCATCGCCACAGCTCTCTGTTTAGAATCATCAAAAAGAGTTATTACCATTTTTGATTATATATATATATGTCTGTTTTTCGAATTTGTTATGTTTGTTTCTTAGAAAAAAATTGTGTTCTTGAATTCATTTGGCGTAAACTAATGTAACAGTGGTTTATTTTTTTAATTGATGAAACATTTTTGGCCTCTATATTCATATAAATCGAAAGGACGTTTTTGAATTTGCAAAATTGTGTGTTTAGCATTACGGTAATGAGACGACTTGGGCGTAACGGACGTTTTTAGTATCAACTTACAACTAACCACGTCTTTGACGTATGATTGAGTCTGAAAAAGAGATGATTATAAATAGGTCTTTGTTTTTGTTGATTATTTTTGCCAATTTCTCAATTATAAATAGGTCTTAAATTGTTGATTAGTCAAAGGAAAAAGAGGTGGTCAAATTGTGTCCCTGAAAAACAAAACAAACGAAAAACAATCAAGTTGGTTAGCTAATCTTTTAAAAAAATCACTGATTCGGATCGGATCCATTTATATGAGAAAATACCGAAAATGAAAAACATACAAATTTTTTGGTAATTTTCTGCTAATGCTGCGATGCGAGCACAACTTTTCGGTTCGCAATTATGTATGTAAATCAATATCGAAAATAAAAAAGTATAGAATCAAATGGTTGTTGTTTTAGTAAAACAAGAAGCTCAGAGATATGACATAATAGACTCATTTTCCTGAGGTTCGATTTTCACTAGACGAGGAAAATCATCCGAACGATGAGGCTCCTAGACGTAGATGCAATTACTATACCATGGAACCGTGTCCGAGAGTGCTGTGGAAACACTTGCCTATGGCCAACAACCGAAACACAAGCTGAGGACGGGGATACATCACATTTTGCACATCTCTTTATTGACCACAAACGGATCGACTTCGCTCTATGAGCGGTACAAGTCTGTCTGCCGGTCAGAAATGATCTAATTCTTTAGCCTCCACCCGACCGTTTGATATTATGTCATGCTTTTCTAGTTCTGTTATCCGATAAATGGACTAGACAATAACTATGGTCAATTTTTATGGTGAATAAATTGGATCTCGGCCAATAAAAGAAACCATGTGCCAACAAACATTTATGATGTTATCAAACTCTTTCAGTCAGACCATTGAGCTAAATAGTCTTTTCACAAACTATTTTACAAAATTCGGATAGGACTGGATCATCCGACCCGAAATATGCAGGTCTATATCATATAGACTATATATGCCAAATACCACTCATGGATATAACTAAGTAGACTGCATTTACAATTTTGCTGCAGAAATTTTTTGGCACTGCCAAAATCCTGATCACGCAAGATTTACTCATTTGCAGGATTCCATTATCATGCCTTTCAAAAGACAATTGGCTCAATTTTCTAAATGAAAACTTTCTAATTACTTAGAGATTAATATATCAAACCAAGTTTTCATTTGCTTAATAAAACAAACTAATATCCAAAAACAGCTAAACCCAACATACCAACTAAACTCAAACATAAGATAAAAAACCACATGTTCTCAGGCCACAAAACACAGACATAGTGAATTTGCTTACTGGTCACAGAAAAAAGCCTTATAGTCCTTTCAATGGATCCGCTACTTTGCCTGACCTAGCATCAGTCCAAGCTTTAGCTATTGTCTTCTTCATTTCTTCATCTCCACCTTCGTACATGTTCTTCATCAAGTCCATAATTCCAGCCATTGGATCTTTCTCTTTCTCCAAACTCGGTTTAATCTGAAACAAACAAAAACAACATTTCACCATTATCACCACAGACACAACTTACGATATTCGTGTTCTTTCTTGCGTGTTTTAAGGATTCTCACCTTATCTTCTTTGTGGTGTATGTCGAGCCAGTTTCCTCTCGAAGACTTGAACATTGTGATAATTATTCTCTTCGGCTTTACAAGCACTTTACATTTCTCAGGCACAATCTCCTTATGCAACTTCGGAATCGCGCATCGGTAATTCTTCCCTTTGACATCATGAATCTTGATGTCCAAAGACATTGGATTAAACTCAGCTTGAACATTGTCCTGATCAACACCTTCCAAAGATATGTACATCTACAAAACAAAACACAATGAATCAAGAACCATGATTGCTACAAAAATGAATACAAAACTGAGTCTTGAATTAAGAAAAGTTTCTTATTGGTTTTTACCTTGACTTTTTCATTGTCTTGATCCCAGCTAAATGTTCCAAGAGTTACATAGTTCATTGCCGGAGAAACCGGTTTAATCGAAGAAGAAACCGGTGCAGGAACTGACACTGGAACCTCTGGTTTTACACTAATTGCAGAATCTCTCAGCTACAGAACAAAGATTCAAACTAATCAGAAACCAATCAAAGAGAGAGATTTTTGTGCTCAATTTCAACAATACAACTAAAAATCTGTCTCTTCTTTCCCTTCTAATATAACCCAAATGACAAAAAAGATTCAAACTTTAAGAAACTAATCAAAGACAGTTTTTATAATCAATTTCACCAATACAACTAAAAACCTGTTTCTTTCCCCTCTAATGTAACCCAATGACAAAAAGATTCAAACTTTAAGAAACTAATCAAAAATCAAATCCAGGATTCGTTTCATTTCTCAGGTTTATTAAGAGATAAACAAACAATTGGAGGAAATTGTTTATGGGTAAAAAACAGGATTTTTTTGTACCTTTTCCAAATTGGAAATCTCGGAATTGATGAGATTAAGAACACGAGGTCGCTTAGCGATGTTCTGGAGTTGCTTGAGTTCTTCCAAATCAAGCCCAAATTCTTCCGCCATGGATGTGTAATCTCTTGAAGCAGCCGTTTTTTTTCTCGAGCAAAAACGAAACGTAAAATCTGAAGAGGCAGTGTTGGAAATTGTGTTTATATAGACACACACAGCAGTAAGAGGAATGATAGATAGAGTCTTGTGGAAACTGGAAAGTACTAGAAGAAGGCTTCATTTAAAAAAAAAAAAACTCATGTTGGGCTTTGTTCTTTCATAGTGACACAAGCCCATTCAAACCCATTTTATTCACTTAAGAAAAATATTGTAAAGAATCTATATGAATAAGTGTATTTTACTTCAAATCCGTCCTAATTGAGTTCAAAAGAAAGTATGAAAGAAGTTGTTACTTAATTAAGTGATGTTCGTTTGTCTGTCGCAGGATGTTGCGACTTTGATATGCAGCCAAATACTGTTTGTTTGTCTGCCTCTGGTATCATGTGAATAAACATCTAGTGTCTCAAATTTTTGAACGCTTGAAAACATTTTAGCGTCGAGTCTGAAGACATGTGACCAGATGTTGCGGTTGCCAAACGAATATTAATTGCATTGTCTGTTCATAGGTTTTTAGAATCTGTTGCTTGCAGCAGAGAAACGAACATCACTTTAATCTAAAGGCGCATTTTTCACACTATATAATTCTCACAGTTTTTTAATATCGTGTTATGTAATATAATGACGTAGCAAAAATTACATTAATGCAAAAAAAATTATCTATTATAGAAATACTTGAAAATTAATGCTTTTTGGATTCGTAAATATCTGCAAACAACAAAAACAAAGGCTATATAAAAGCTCAAAGATTTATTTTATGAATCAATCAATAATGGAATCAAATCATAAACATGTAGACTATTTATAAGAAAACCTAAAAGCTCTACAAAACCTTAATCATGAC